ATCATCGGGAGATCGATCGGCTTTTTCTGTTCTGTTGGCTTTTTTTAGAATCTCGACGCGGCTATTAAACGCGACGGCCGGGATTTCTATTTTCTCGGCCACTCCCCGGGAGCAGCCGTTCACGTCGCTTCCGCTTGTGACTGATCGCACGAGGATCGCCAGGATCCATTATACAACCAAACGACAAACGAGATCACGGTCCTCGGGACGAGCGACGTGTGCAAATTGATATGAGCCACGGAGAATTCGGGGATCCCGAGTTCGCGTGAACTCCGCAAAGTTCGCCGGGTGACCGAAGGGTTTAGTTAATCGAGAGCGGGAGCGAGAGAGAGAGAGAGAGAGAGAGAGAAACCCCGGAGAAGATCGCTTGTGGTTTCAGGCGCGAGCGGCAATTTTGACGTGGTACGCGTCTTAGGTCTTGTTTGCGTGATCGAGTCCGGATTAAGCTGTTCAAACGTGCTCTTTGCCGCTTGTCGGCCGGCTGACACGCGCGAGAGCTTTACGCTGCCAATCGCGCGGCGGCTTTACGAGCGAGCGAAAGGACGGAATAAAGGGCGAACGAAGCGCGGCCGAGACGCTGGAATTCCACCGATCGGCAGCACTCCGTTCCTTTGATACACCCGGCGGTTTGAGAATGCAGGTCAGGGTTGAGGCGGAAGAGGGACAGAACTAACTTCTGCCGACGGGGCACCGGTACAGGCGGTAATGTCGGTGGTGGTGGTGGTGGTGGTGTGTGCAAAAACGTGCTGTACAGGATGATCCGAAAGTATCCGTCTTGCCGAGAACGCTCGGTGGAGTGTCAGGTGATTGGGGCTGCGAGACGTTCGCGCGAAGCTCCCGAGAACCCGGGAGTACCCGGAATGTGTTAGGGCTGGGGGAGAGTTCGACAGCAATCCGACTGTAGTAGCGGAGCGAAAGGCTAAGAAATTGACGGCGGAGAATTCAGCGAAGCGAGAATGCGAGCTTTCGGATACTCGGCGCCATGACGACGTCGAGCCTTCCCTCGGATTCGTCGAATCCTTGGATTCTCTCGTGCCTTTTAAGGCGGCAAATCTTATGAACAATGCGGTATCCTCTAATGCAAAAAAAGCTCAAGGCACTCGGAAACTGTGTGAAACTCGGAACGCGTTCTTGAAAACACGATACAAAAGTCTTCCCGCGAACCGAAATACCTCAGAATTGCACAACCCCTCGAAACCTCAAAATTCTTACATTTTCCAAAACTCTCGGTTTGTGAGATCTCCACGAGTTCACGTGTCCTCAAGTTCTCAGGATCGCGGGCTTCCGGGAGGCGGAGATCCTCGCTCGCGGAAGATCTGAACTCCGTGTAACACAAATATATCGGCATTCCCAAATTTACTGGCACGTCCCACACTCCGGGGGTCCTCGGCGCTCTCGGATCATCCTGTACATGTTGCTGGTGTTAACTACGTGAGTGAGCTACACATGTTGCACGTACGCACGGTGAAACGCGCATTGAACGACGTACAAACGGGGGGGGGAGGGGCGTATGAGGAGAATCGGGAATTGCGGATGTCTTGTGCAAGTCTTGGCCCTCCCCCTCCTGAAGGAAATCGCGCATTTCGCGTCTAGAACGGAAGCACGCGCCGTTTGCATGCGGCGACCGATTCCGCGGAAGTTTGTCGAAACGTTTGCAAAATATGAAACTCCCGCTCCATAAATTTGCTCACGCTTATCGAGTCCGCTTCTGCCACGAGACACTCGCCATGTCGTTGCAGTTCGGGGGATGAAATATTACGTACCACTCTCTGCGTGCCGTGATTGTAATTTATATTCCCATACGCGTACGCTAATTGTAATTCCACAGTCGGAAGTGAAAAGCTATGCCATTAACGCGCTTTTTTGTCCGATGCAGAAATTAACGATCGAAGATGTTAATCCGACGGAGTGGTGATCAGGGATGAAGGTTGACCGCAAGCTCTCCGCTCCGTGCAGAGAGACAAACGTGCAGCCAACGTGAGGAAAATGGAGGAATGTTATTTTCTGGATTTTCTGGAAGTTGGCCAGAAAATTCACGCAAAAGGAGCTGGGAGACACCGCATAATAAATCCTGCGCATTTTTGTCGAAATACCGGAAGCACTCGCGCGAAATGTTGCTCTCACGCGCGCGAAAAGCTGACATTGAAATATGTACGGTGGCTATACCGGCGAGGTCAGATATCGGAAAGCGTTTTTGTACTCGCGACAAGTAAAGATCAAAAAGATACAAATATCAGCAACTAAGGGCGAGCGCGATCCTAGAACGTCCTAGAATTCGGTACCGAATTTGGATTAACTCCAAATTCGGGTAATGGAATATTGGCTGCACTTTTTACGTTTCGTCATACAGAGGAATCTCGGCAATTTCGCCGCTTCACGACCGTGCACAAATATGACGAGTCGTGCGAAAAATAGTAAAATACTAAACTTTTAAAATTGTGGATATTAAGCGACAAACGATATGGAATTTATCGGGCGGATAAAATGAACAAGAGAGAAGTTGGAGGGATTAAATTTTTGCTTTCCGCAAAATTGTTTCGCAACGGCCTGTAAGCTCACAGCTTACTGGAAGGGAGGATAGCTGTCACTTTTCAACGCGATTGCTGTCGTACAACTTCAATTTTATGAGTTTCCCAGCACCTGTCGAGAGCAATAATATGAACCGAGTTTCTCACACTTGCGTTAATTTTGCCTCGTAAAAAAATTCTCATCAAGGCACCTTAACCCTTTGTTGCACGTTTTTTTCTAATGAATATTACTCGGGGGTTTTCAGGGTCGCTGAATACAAATCCGGTGAGAAAAATGCGAGATTCAAAATGACGGACGAAATTTTCAAAATCAGCCGCTTGAAATTTTTTACTTACGGGTTTTCGAGTTACGGGGTTGCTAATTACAAATTCGTTATCGAAGATTCGAAATGCCAGAGTTATGACGGATATATACGGCAAGGTTGACACCGATCAGGTTGCCCGGTTCTCAAGTGCAGTCAGTTTGTTTCATTTCTATAATTATGTTCACCATATGAGATCCGTCATTTTCAATTTTGTATTTTTCACATCGGATTCGTATTCAGCAACTTAAAAAATCCCCGATTAACCAGTTTCAAACGAATTCGACTGATTTTGAAAATTCTGTCCGTCACATTGGACGTGCCATTTTGAATGTTGAATTTTCCACATCGGATTTGTATTCAGCGACCCCCAAGAACCCTCAAATAATGATTTTGCAGTATACGTTATCACTTAAAATTTCATACAAACGAATTTATTCTCTAAAAACGACAGTTTCGTTCAGTATATGCTTACTAATAATAAATTATTTGAAATGACTCTAAAAGTTGATGTATTAGTTAGAGAAACATTTTAGTAGTCCATAAATACCAAATATGCTAAAGAAATATGTGAAAAATTTGAATTATTGGAAAAACAAGCTCGGATGATAGGCGGCACTCTGGGAGAGCCATTATGCAGCAAAGAGTTAAGAGAGGGATCTTGACGTCCATGAGAAGGTGGATATTGCGGCGAATTGTACATCGCGAGTTTCGTCCAGCGCGATGTATGAAACTCGCGGAAGTCTCGCGCGACGCTCGGTCGAGCAATCTTTTGCGATAACTTACATTTCTGGCGTCACCAAACTCGCGCGACGAAAATTTCCGCTCGACCATCTACGCAGAGACTTCGCCCTCGCTCGCTCGTTCCCTCTTTCTCCTTCCTTCCCTCCCTCCCTATCCGCCGAAGAAGGATTTTATTATTTCGCGAACGTCATATTTTGTCGTTTACTACGGAAACGCGTCTCGCACGAGGAATGCAGCGGCGTAAAGCGCAGATTGTTACGATCAATATTTGCCAGATGCACTTACTTTAACGCGAGCCGAGAGCTCGCGGAAGCTCCGGGGATTTTATCGCGGGCATCTTTGTTTTTTTATGCTTTTTGTGTTTTTATAGCCGTGTACATTTTCGTGTCTTGGAATTTAAGCGCGCGCGCATTCCCGCCCGCCGTGCATGTCGTGTAACAACGCGCGTCGGCATCTCGCACTTTCAGCCGAGAATTGGCACCTCGCGCGGAATATCCCGCGCGTACTCGACAGGAGAAATTTGGAATTAGCTTGAACGCGCGCAACTTTTCCAAGGAGCCGTATTTCCATCGCTGCTTCTTGCTCTCGACAGGTTGCTTTCGGCTATTTTGCACACACGCAATCTAAATAAATTGCGAAACAGTTTGCGGAGGATCCGTGAAAGCGCGCATTTCACGGATTAGCATGCTCGATCGCAGCATCGGGGCACGTCGTAGAGCCGCGTTTATCTTTATTAAATTCCCCTTCATGGCGTTGGTGTGTTGTCAGCGTGAGCGAAATCACGCCATTCAATGCAGAGAGCCGTAAAAGTGAGGCCCGCACGCAAAGGTACACGGCTATTTCCAGCAGGCGTCATTATTTTACGCGCAGTCAAGTATTCCCGTCGAACGTCGCCCCGTTAATATCATCGTCAATCGCGTCGTGCGTGCATGTGCATACATATGCAAGGTGTATTCGCATGCGGGGTATTCCAGAAATCGCGTGTTCCCTCTCCAACGGCAGATAACACCGAGCTGTTAACTCTTTGTGCTCCTATGCCGGGCTCCGCCTCAACATTGTGTGTTCGTTCCATTCCAATCAATTCTATGCCAACTTCGTATTCGTTGAAAATACAGTCGAGAAAAAGAACCCCGAAGGATCCGAGTCACAAAGAGTCAAAGGCTCCCAAAGGTTTGTCAGAAGTACGAACGAAAGAACATCCTTCTCGATCGCAGCTCGTCGGTTAGCTGGTCTCACAAAATGGAGCCCTCTTGGATCCTCTCTCTTGGATCTAATTGTGCGAGATGGAGAGGATCGAAGAGGAGCATCCCGAGCAACCCCGAGCAACCCCAAGCCCGGAAACGAAGTCTGGAACACCCGGCGTACGAGGGCGCGCGCGTGTACGTGTGTGTTTGTACGGCTTGATAGCGAAAAATCGTCATCCCACCGTCTTGACGTAGTTGACGGTCTCGGCGGTTGCCTCGGTGAGGGCCCGGCGTAGTCGTGATCGTCGCACCTGCGACAGCGTGCGTGGGCAGAGTACGACGCCCTGGGCGCCCTGAGAGCCGGAAGCGGCGCCGGCGGAGGCTGGGCCGGGCGCCGTGGCCGTGGTGGAGGGCGCCGCCGCCGCCGCCGACATCGTCGCCGAGGACGACTTGCACCACCAGGGGAACTGGGCGCGTTATCGATAACACGTGGTTAATACAAAACACCCTCTCGCTGATGGCGCGACGCTCGTCGCGGTGCACGTGGACGACGAGACAGACAGCACAGGTGCAAGACAGTATATAGACAGACACGTGGACGGACACGGGGTCGGGGTTGCACCAACGGCACCGCGGTTAACTAACTCCCTTGAGTGTGTGTCGGCTCTTATCCTTGGCTCTCTTTCACGCAGCCTTGGCTGCGGCGCGCGAGCGGGCAACATCTACTCGAGTACATTGGTCCCGAAGCGGCGAAGCGATTGGTATCGAGCACGATCAGCTCGCTGATCACAGCCTGGGACAGCTAATTCCGTCGAGCGATCGCTCGTCTAGCTCCAGAGACCTTAAGTCTAACCGTGACGCAAACACAACACGGAGGGAAAAGGTTGGGTTAACCTGGCGATGGACCAAGCGCGCTTCGGTCGGAGGGTACAGGCATTTCTGGCTCCTGGGACCGAATTTGACTCGGAGAGAACCAGAAATTCTGTCCTTCGGCCGAAACGCAAACTTCCCGGTTCGCTCGTTGTCACGTTAACTCAACCGACTATTCTCCGCGAGGGAACATTTAGCTGGCCACAAGTATCCTATTTACTTAGTGATGATGCAGCCGGGCTTAAGGGCCAGTTGCACCGACAGTCTTGGTTCAGCAATTTATCACTTCCTTTCTTTCGATCACGGTACGGAGGGAAATCTGTTCGAGCACGTTTACTGAATCTTAGTCTCTCCTGAAATATTCCCAACTTTATTATAATTTCATGTAACACGTGTGTGTGTGTGTGTGTGTGTGTGTGTGTGTGTGAGACTAGAAGTTATCGAAGTTATTCGACTATTAATTATTCACCTCATTCAATCTGCGCTGTTTATTGAAACAGCGCGCTCGCCATAACACGGATGGAGAAGTGGGATTTAGTTAACCGCAGTTAGCGGCAGCCGACGTTGGTGCAACCAGCCCGGAGATACAACGAACAAGTGGCGATTCCTCACTCGCGAGAGAGACGACTCGCCGAAAGTATAAACTCTTCGTCATTCCTGAGAGAAAGGCTGTCTCTCACACTTTCAGTTCGCCCCGACGCTCGCGCGGCTTTCTACCTCTGTCTTTCTAAGCAAGCGGTCGTCATCTACGCTAATCACTAGTTCTGAGCTACTGCTAGTCTAAATGATGACTGAGAATGGTCTACGCGCGTGATCAGCGGGGAGGCAGATTGGATGCGTGCGTTATTCGCGTTATGAGAGGAGACAATCGGTTACTCGCGCGGTCTTCGGCGCGCAGGAGATCGTCTGTTCGGACGGGTCGATAGAATCAGCGCTGTAACCCCGAAGGAACGTTGATTCTCACGCAAACAGACGAGCTCGCCCCGCATCTTTCCACGTATCTTCCACGTATGTTCGTTAGTTGCGGGCTAGTTGTTGCCCGGCATCCACTCGTTCGATAGTCAACGACAAGTCAAGTACGAGACAAATTGCACGGCAAGCAAGCGAATAAAAAGCCCTTATATCTCGGGATATGCCTCGGCCTTCCCTCATCACGTCGATATCTCGAGTGCGCAAGCCATCTACGCGATCATCACATCCTACGCGATTGCTTTGAGCGGGAATCTGGAAGATTGTTCAGCAAGTTGGTATTTGTACTTGCTTAGGAAGTTTCTCCCGATACTATCGGCACGAACTGTGTGAGATTGGTGTACCCTCGAGAATTTTACCGCTGGCTATTTCTTTTGGTTCCACGCGATTTATGCGTGTGGCATGTGATTGAGAATACGCAGACGAAGAAGTTCTAGCAACGATGAACGTATGTGGAAAGAATAAAGGGTTACAATATATTTCAGAGAGAATGTTGGTAAAATCTAACGAACGGCTGTGACAAACAAAAATTAATGACTCGTCAATGTCGAGTCCGACGGAATTACAAGCTTCAACGCAACAACAGGAACGCGTCCCCTTTTCTCAGCGATTCTCAGAAGATACAGGAATTTTCTCATCGGATACGGGATGTGTTGCCAAGTTCATCGAAGTAAAAGACCTCGTTGCAGCCTTTCTTTCGTTGATTGGACGGCCGACGTCCTTCGATTGAACGCGGATAGATTTCGTGAGATCGATGTGCAATTAGGCGATTAAAATTAAAACACTCTTCCTCGATGAGTTTCGCTGCGCATTCGGTATTCGATAGAAAAATGAGAGATTAGAAAGAACTACTTGAGAAATGAATGCTCGTGTCGGACCCGTTGCGAAGTTCAGTGAGGTGTAAACGTTGCAATACTTTTAACCACCGATTGCTACCATACAGCCTGTAACTCGGAAACAATTTATTGTGATAACTTGGAGAAGAATGCACACGTATTACTTGATTACAGCTGTGATGTTTTACTGTTAATAACTTGTCCAGTCGCCTCCATTATCAATAACAGCATGGCATCTTTCCACTAATTTAAGGCATACTGTTCGAGTGAAGATCTCTAATAAATCGATTGAACTTGTCGAACTAACTTCCTGACCTTCTAAATTTTCCTGCCACGAAGCTCATCAAGCTTCATCAATGCCCAAACGACGGGATTTATGTCCAATGCCAATCCACATGTCAACGTCAATTTTTTTTGTTCCCATTACGGTAGAAAAACGATTCCGGTGTTTTGGGTCATTGTTCTCTCGTAGTAACCATTTTTGGTTTTTCCTTTCAAACCACTTTTGGGCAGATGGTAATAAAATCCTCTCATAAATTTTGGCCATTTTGGCAACGCTCGAATTGTCTATGAAAATATGCACAGTGCCAAATCCTTACTTTGAGAAGCACTTCTAAACGTGTACTCTCCAACTCTTTTTCTTTTTCTTGACATATTTCACCTCTATAAGTAACGATTTATCCACTTATTTACATGTATCTTAGACCTTTTCATGTATTTAGCAGCCACTTAACCTGACATTTTCGGTTCATTCGGATGTGTACGGAGAAACGCGACTTTGAATCGCGGCACACGCGGCGAAATATGCCTTTCTATCAAGAAAGTCGAACGACAACTGAAACTTTCTCTACAAAGCATCCCTCTACCCCCAAAGCTCCCGTTTAACGGTTCTTACATAAAAGTTTTGCCGGGCACGGGTCTCATCAAGCATACATAGCCACTCTATATAGCCACTCGCCAGCCCTTATTCGTCTATCATTTGTTATTTTTCTTATTCCGTCGGATTCGATATTGACAAGTTACTGATTTCCGCGCGTTCGTCACAGTCGCTCATTAGATTTCATTATCGGCCCCGGGAGGAACGACATTCCCTCTGAACAATATTATGTCGCTGATTGTGTGTCGTAATTACGAACTCCGGCGGCGAAACTTTAAAGTGAACATTTATTACGAGACTCACTTCCGGAAGCGCTAAAACTCTCTCTCGAGCGCACATCAATTCCCACTCGTTGCTCGCTTCGAGAAGCAAGCGAGTAATCTCAACACTGGATTTGCCTCTCCGCTGATTTCGTGTAAACCGGCCTAAGGGGTTGCTAGACTAAAGATTGAGCGGGTTGGTAGCTTGCTTAGTCGAGGGATCAAATGAACGAAGAATACCGATGAGAGCGCTTGGAAACGCTAGAGACGGGGTAGTTGAAGGACGAAAAGAGAGACAGAGAGAGAGAGAGAGAGAGAGAGAGAGAGAGAGAGAGAGAGAGAGAGAAAGAGGATGATGTGCGGATGTGATGCTGAGGAGAGGCTACTCCGGAGATGGCCGACTGGTTGAGCCGCGTGAGGAAGTCGACAGCGGAAAACACTTTCGCTGGAACCTGGGGGGATCCCACCGCGTCGTGCAGATTTACGACGCCGGATTCGGGCGAGGCAGGATAACGACAGAAACGGATTGGCACCTCTAATCTTATCGACGGTACGTCGCTTCCGCCGCGGCTGAGCTGTCGCTCGTGCGTGAGAAGCCCCGGCCGATTAACTCTTCGGACGACAGAGCAGCAAATTTGATTTCCAGTTAAGCCCGTCGGTGCAAGCGACGATGCATTCGTTGCATCATGTATGAACACCGAAATCCCAGCGGAAAGTTAACGATACAAATGAGGTCCACGTTCGACTTGAACGAAAAAAAGAAAAAAATCTTTTCTCGCTACATCGAATTGTAGCCCAAGTCGATCGAGAGTGAAAATGGACACCCGTTACATCGGAAACTATTAGCATTCAATTCACGGGGCAAATTAACGTGATAATTAATTTAATGAAGGGGCAGGGCACACGACGAAGAACACAACCATCAGTACCTCCTCGACTCGCAATCGGGGATTCGTCGAATCGCATTCGCGAGGGTTTCGTCCCTCGTGAGTTTTTCCGAAGGTCGAAACTTCCGCCGAGGAAAAGAGAGAGAAAGATCGAATCGCCTTCTCGCTACGGTTTCAAGCGCTTTTTTCTGAAGCCGAAGAGAAAGTGGGCGATCAATTTTCGAGATACTGGAGCTCGACACGCGATTATACACGCGGTTTTTGTGGATGACCGAAATCGCCATTTCGGAACGAATCAATGACCCGCGAGGTAATTCTCATTATTCCCCGTTATTATTCTCCGTGCAGGAATATTCAAGTGAGGTGGCCTGCAACCGGGTGCTTCAATTTTATTGTTCCATTTTTTATGTTATACAAAGAGGCAACACTTTCATGTGCAGAAATATATAACCTTCCGAGTTTTAGACGATGAGGAATTGAAAATTCGCAAATGAACGACTAACGAGAGCGTGTATGAGGTGAAAATGTGCGTGAGAATCGATCGATGTAATTCTTGCACAGCAGCTTCAACTCTTTTCCTGAGAAGAAGGCTTTCCGTTTCTTTTTAACTTCTTTTACATAATCACCGGGAGTATAATCGGAATGTACTCGGAGCGAGATGAAAAATTACCACTAATTCAAAACTCCTTCCATCTACCGACATCTTACCACAAGGTTCAGAATTAATGCGCTTAATAAGCCGCGTCCGGAACGACGGGGCCGGGACAT